AGCATTTGTATAGCGCATATCCCTCTCAGCAGCAGGCTCTATGCGCTTTACCCTATATTATTACCCCAGCAGACCATAGAACACTCCGATACAGTATCAGCTTCCCGGGAAGCATACAGTGCAAGCAGCCGATTAAGCGCTCAAACACTAACAAACTGACAAGACCTTTCGCGGTCTATAGCCGGGTACCCATTCCCAACTGGGTGAAGTGAGGAAAATTTGTGTAAAGTTCCTTTCCCAAGGACACAATGTCGGGCCCTTGACGAGATTCGAACCCACGACCTTACGGTTGTGAGATCGAGAGCCTAACCACTAGGCCACCGACGCCACACAATATTACTATTATTACTTACACTTATAGAGAAAAACAAAACAAAACGGAGATTTGATTTATCATGGATTTATCCAAGTTCCTGTAACAACAGAGGCTGTTATAAATGGACTGGACTGTAACTTGGCTAGCGCCTGATTTCACTGCGATGCCTCACATGTATTGATCTACACCATGGGAATTAAATTAAAAATCTGCTCAAGCCTTGAAAGTGGGTGAAAACAATGTCAATCCAGTTGCTTTGGTTCCAAGGATAGGCCTACACACTAGGAATCATTTGAAGTAAAGGAAGCAGAAGAAATTTTGTGAAAATCATGGTGCTTGCCTGACAAGATCTGGAAACAGCGAGAATGTGACAGCTGTCTCATTTTGTCATTTTGATTTTTGCTACACATTTGGCTAGCAAATGTGATGGTCAATTGAGAGAGAAGCACGTTATTGCAAAACTGGTAACTTCATACCAGAAAAGAACAAGACAGAGAGACAGTCAAGAAGTATAGAAGTAGAAACTGTAAGTAGTGTAAGGGGCACCCTCCAAACACCCGCAGTGGGATGAGGTGAATAACGAGACCCTCAGAGGAAGGACGGGACAGAGAGAAATCTAACAAAAGAGTCACAGAGTAGAGTAAAGATAATAATATAGATTGCAAAGCGCAGAGATTCTGTTGGTAATAAGTGCTATACAAATGTTATTTAGAAACATACTATTAATAAAAAGTCCCCAATAAATGACAACACAAAGATACATTTTTGGTAGTACCGTACATTTAATATCACATTCTGTGCAAACAGCAAAATGTCAAAATGATCTCGCAGGACCTCGCATGAATACCGAACACTTGCCAGGAGTGTGTAGTGAAATTACGAATGAGAAGAATAGATCTACTTAATAGGAATTATTAGGTAATAAAAATGGAGAATTACAGGCAACAAGGCAACATATATTTTTCAACATAAGAATTACAATCAGTGACGACCATGAGCTGGAATTGTCTAGACTGAATAATATGACCAACGTTAGGGAAACTAGAACCACTTGAAGGATTTAGAACTGAGAGAACACAAATAACTTTCCAGCAAATTTTCCCTTGGACAAAAGACTTTTTCTCAAAGGAATAATGACTGCTCAGAAAATCAGAATTTAAACATTGATGATTTGTTCAACTGAAAAATATGCCAGTGCATCTAGACAGGAAAAATAATTATGGGTATAATCATAATAATGACAATTGCAAAAAAGGGAAATAAATCCACTAAACCAACCCCTCCCCTGTTGCTGGGGAAACAACAAACACAATTATCTTATACATTATTCACCAGATCTGTCAGTGTCAGGTAGACCAAATGTAAAGCTGACATTCTACAGTCGAGAAAAAATGCACCTCAAAAACAAAAAAACAACAAAAACCCAAAACAAAAGAAGTAAGAATGTTCCTACACATGATATCAAATGTGGACAATTTGGGCAACTTGAATTGACTGGATAAAATTTTCGTGAAAGAATGAAGAAATTACTGACCCAAGAGGTTTATTGTCTGCATCCCTCCCCATTGACAACAGCAAAATGTTTCAATGCCTTGACCCAACTATGTGAGAACATGTTCACCTTTCCAAACAGTAGAATCCATAAAGGACGAGGCAAAAACTGAAGTTTTCTTTACGTTTTTAGCCATGGTCATTTCCCTCTTTCCCTCTCATCGTTCTGACATCTTATTTAGCAGACGCAAAATGAAATTGCAGACATTTGAGAGGCTGGGTTGGAGGAACCCATCGAGTCTTCTTTATTATTTTGCTGTTCCGCATACCACTTTAAAAATCTTTTCCTGTGCTGTAAGCCCTTAATCACATCTTCTGCTTTGTCTACAACTCAGATACATTTCGCATGAGTCAAATTCGTTGACATAATAATGATGAGTGAATAAGGAACACAATGATGGCCTCATAGATGTTACAAAACAGCTGCTGCGCACATGACAAAAGTTCACAAAAAACAAACCAAATGAAATGACCCATCTTTAGTAAGTCTTAACACGCCAATTTCCTACACACAAACTTTGTCTTTTGTTTCAGGTTCATCAGCAAAATCACGGAGACTGGTTCATGTTTGGTTTTCCCAAATCAGACTTGCAAAACCTATCCATCAGTGGCCTGGAAGTGTTCATCGTCAATTGTTGAGTAGATGAGACCTTCAACGCTCAAAAACTCAATGGCATCCCTGCAGACAGAAGCGTAAACCCATATTTATCTCATGCCAAAAATATTAAAAATAAAGATAAACATATAGTGATAAAAATAAAACCTACTCAAAACAATAAAAACACATACCACTACCACTGCATTCATATGATTTTAAAACTAAAGCTTGTTCACTTTTGTCGGAGCGTGTACAAAAATTGTAACTGACTGAAGAATTTACCTTTGACCAGGAAACTTCGCACGGCCAGCGACCCAATACAAATATTTCTCCAAAAATCTTGACCCAGTAATAAAAAATGTTTTCTCTTTGGGCCCTATATATTAAAAACTGCTCTTTGGATGCATAAACAGGATCACTAAAATAAATGACTTACAGTAGCCTTGCCTACAAATTGCTCATTTTGAGACAGCGACACCGCCCTGCTCCCACATTTCAGTGTGAGCTTGTCGATTTCATTCATCCCCCCGCTGTCTAGACGTCTCCACGTGAGCCTCGAAAAATACTCACCCTGTCTCTTGAATCGTGTTTTTTAGGCGAATGTTGGAGAGTGGTGTTGGGGAAAATTTATTAAAGTTTTAGGGGTATGCTGTAAATCGTCTACTTTTTTTTGGGACCTGCTTTAGGCTGACATCAAAGAAAACGTGTCGGAACCTTAGTTCATTTGCAGAGACTTTCATGAATGAGCTTTTAGATTCTGTTGGTCGCTTAATTTTTTGACCCGCATGCAAAGACCCAGAAAGAATAAACAGAGCGATTTGGTTTTAACATGTTATAATCGCAGTCAAACGAAAGTGAACGAGCTATATCATGCAATTCAAAATTTTCCATTCGTTCTACGTTGTGCTCTTGTACCTCACCCTTTCGGACCAGCTGAGGCAGGATTGGCATCTAATAATAATCAAATATAATAATTAATTACAGACCTCAATGTAAAAGACCAAGAGTTAACGGTCCTGGCATCAGAACTCGGGCATATCACCCTAGATTGCTGCTGTCTGCGAACATTTTGACACATTTCATTGCTGGATAAAAAAAATCCTTTCCCTGAACTTTAGTAATGACCAAACCAAAGACATTTTTACCTTCTTTTTTCTTCTGTGAGATCAAGGGAAGCGAGCAGTAGGTTCTTCAACAAAGGAAATCCCAGTGCAATTAATGTTACAGTTAACATATACAATATAGAACAAGCTTGCAAGCTTATCAAAAATTCAATCAGGGACGCCCAACGTAAAACATCAGATAACGTGACAACAAACAAAATGTGTCAAGTGGGACTGATTTTGATGTTGTGAATGACAGAAGGTTTATGATCGGTGAACTTCAGCTGGAAATCGCCAACAGACACCAGAAAAAAGTTCACTTTGCTGTCTCGAAGTCGTGAAGGCTAAAAGTATAACGGGTCCTCTCAAATTTCTGAATGTGCCGAATCTAAGAGTCTCAAGAAATTTGACACATTTGGCATGCCTGTATATAGCCTCCTTTCATGCAAAACAAGAGTGTCCCTAGAATTTAAATCAGAGAAAAGTCTTAAAAAGGTTCTCATGACATCAATACTGACCAGATTTTTAGAAGTCTTGGGCAGAGATTAAATATACACTTGCAAGGGCAGTCAGATTGTTCTCAGAAAAACACCTACCTGATAGCCTTTGGCGCAATACTCCGTAAACTTTGACAGATCTCATCAATGCTGCAACCTCTCTCTGACTGTTCTCTCCTGATGATCATCTGAACCTGTGATAGTTCAAAACAAGCAAAGATATTTTGTTAGAACACGACAATCCCAAAAAAACATGCAGCTAAAGGTTACACCTTCTTCCCTTCTTCCAGACAGCACCATAGGCATAACAAAGGAACAACATTATTTCATCCAAACACAGTGTCCAACAATATATCAAAGTGTTTATGGATGGTGAGAAGTAACTCATTTTGTCAGCACACCTCACATATATTCAACACTTTCTTTTGATATACAAGAAAGCGGTTGAATAGCACGATGAATTTCCATTTCATCAAAGCTGTTCAGAAACCAGGCATTGAGAGATAGTGTCCCACCTAGGCTGTTATCTATTTCCTCTAAACTTGACACCCCCCCCCAAAAAAAAGGTTAATCCCCGAGATGCTAACTCCACATGATTCTTTTTACTGAACTTTTTCAGATGGCCGTCATCAAGATAGAGGGGAGGATGAAATGAACAAGAAGCCAATGCCTTCACAGACGGAAGGGCGATAAAAAGAAGATTTAAATTTAGATCTTTTTGTTGATTTGGACAGTGACGACAAAGAAGAAGTCAGAACAAAGGCAGATTTGTGGCAGAATGAGAAACATGATGAGCAACGCTTTCGAGTTCGATGGGTAATGAGCCTACCGGTACGAAGACAGTTTGATTGTGTGGGTCAGTGTGAGCGGTCTTTAGTCTGCACCAATCGAATAGAGCCATTTCAACTTTTTCAAAACAAACAATTTGACAAGATAAGCATATCGCAACAGTAATTAACACTGCGATGACGAAACAATGCAGTCCTACCCTGCCCCTCCCACCAAGCGCGCAGTCCTTTGCAAAGAGGGGTGGGGCGGCCGATTGTGTGATGGACATTAGCACAACCCTTCCTCTCGCCCGCTCCATACAAGTACAAACCTAGCTAGGCCTAGGACCTAGGCACGCCCAGAGGGTATGCGTGTCGAGTAGCGAGCTAAATATAGCACAGCTAGCTGCTTGTGGAGGGGGTGGGGGGAAGGTGGTATTTTACCGACCTTGCCCGTTTCCATTTTTATTTTTATTAATATCATTATTTGAGTTTCAAGTGCACCTCAAAGGATATTGAGTTTCGACCTCTATGGCGGCGTAATTAGTTGGACTATCCCATGTTTGTGTTCCAGCTTCACATAATTTTCTTAAAAAGATAAAGAACAAAAAAATGGGACAGCAGGCACAGTTCGACAGATGCATGATTTCGAGTAATCTGTTCTTAGTTTCCATAGAGGTTTTACGGCGCTCGCAACTGCATATGGTTTTATGAGCACCAAGGGGTGGATGTCAACAGAGAAGTCTTTACAGGGAATCAGGCTTACTCAGCTCACCTCTCTAGCTTCAACAGCACAAAGTCTGCTTCCACTATCAAGGTATCCCGGAAATAGCAGGTCACAAGAGTATGACAAACTCAAACATACAAAAGAAATAGAAGAAAAATGACAATAGCAAGGATAATTAGGAAAAAAAAAGCAGCAGTTCCCTGTAGCAGTTCAGGCACAGTTATGAGCATGACATTGTTGAATCAGCCTATTTACAATTCTACTGTGCATAAGAACAAGTTAATGTCCCCCCCCCCCCCTGGGAATGGCCTAAAGACACTTCAGTCAGTGACACGGCCCTGGACGGGTGTGTGTGTGTGTGTGTGTGTGTATGTGCGTGTGTATGTGCACGTGTGTGTGTATGTGTGTGTGTGTTAACCTGTGTTTGACCTATCCGGGTCATACTGCATATTGCCATGCCTAGTCTCTGACACTGACAGAGAGGGGGCTCTCGTGGCCTAGAGGTTAAGGTGTTGGCCTCTCATTCAAAGGTCCTGGGTTCGAATCACTGTAGTGACCGAAAAATTTTCTTCTCCAAAATTGTCTCCTTTCACCTCCTTTCCTGCTCTCTACCAATGTTCTGTCGTCTGCTTTCATTTCCACTTTCTGCCTCCACCCCTCACCTCCTTTGCCCCCTCCTCTGGGCTCCTGACTCTTTCTGCAGCCTTTCTACTGCTACTCCTTGGCTCCTTCTTACTGCTGTCTTTCTGCCACACCCCTGATCTTCTGGTAGGAAAGATCTACACCTAGCCTTCTCGGACAAGGGCGAAAAATCTCGGAGGGCCCGTGTGCAAGTTGCGCACGTTAAAGATCCCTTGGTGGTCTAAAATCGATAAGAGTAGGCTTAGGCCGCCACCCGCGCAAAATTCAAAATTTCCAACCAACTGAAAATATTTAATGTATCCCGCGCGCTCATATGACCTATGCAGTTGCGAGCGCCGTAAAACACTTTACAAAAAAACCCCCAAAAAACTGACAGAGAGGGGATTACCTTCAGAACAGGGCCTCAGGTGGGAGGGAGTTAAAGACTCGGATTACAGTTTAAAACATGCACACATCATGCTGCAATAGTAACACATGCTCCATACATCACGACAAAAATCACATGATCAACATACTACAGAAAAACATGAGAACATCAAAGTTGGCTCTTACAAATAACCTGGTTAGACCGCAGTCACCTTGACATTCGAACTCATTACATTGAAAAGGTACTCACCTGTGACTGTAAGGAATTTAATCCAGGCAGTTGACCATTATCTCCAGCATCTGTTGAGTTGCCCATTCCGAGACCAGACCCAGAAGGCCCCCCTGTCTTATTTCACAAATAAAAATAAAATGTAATGTAATCATTTGTAGAATACTTGGACAAGGAATGTAAAATAATAAATAGGCCTACAGCACTTTTGAAGACACATGAACTACTGCTCAACTTTTCAAGGCGTATATATACAGTCAACCTCGTTATACCGCCACCCTTGAGACGAGCATAAAGTTAGTGGAACAGGAGGTTCAAAGGGTTCCTCTGTTACAGCCCTGACTGCCCAGACTCAAGGAATATGATTCTGCTGCGCAAGCTGTGTTTGAAAAGTGTCTTTTTGTTGGTCACACACAGCAGTACATGAACATGTATTCAGAGCCCAGTGTCTTCTTTCTCTTTATCTTGTGGGAGAAAGCTTATTAAGTAGTCGACCAATGGGTGATGTGCGCCATGTGTCGAGTGTACCCCTGGCAGTATGGCGGGGCAAATTTACCTAAGTAAGTTGAACAAAGACAGCATAACTCAGGCGGATGGCGGTGTGAAGTGCAAATACTATGTTTTTATTAATGTACGAGCTTTACAGCAACTGCAGCAAACCTGCACTTATCACTACATGGCATTGGAAAAAAGGGCGAGAGCCCAGCTGACGCTGGATCCATAACAACATTAATATCGGAGCTCCTTTTCATACAATGACAAAGCCTGACGGTAAACAAGGGATGGTACAACTGTATTGAAAAATCCCAGGTCTTAAAACCCGTTACTGCTTGTTCAGTCTTTATTCTCATTCCTCGACAGCCTAAACACGAAAAAATGTCATTGTTAAAAAGCCAAAGAATTACGCTGTACTTTCACAGTACATTTTTCATTTCTCTATATTTTATACAAAACATTGCCACAATACAAATGTTTTCCAAAAGTCAAACGGTAACAAATATAAAGCTGCATTCACTTGCTTCTCAGATAAGCAAAGCAACTAAAGTACTAGAATCGCAATATGGCACAGGGCATTGACAGCCTTCAAAAAAGATACAAAAAGCATACTGGTACACAATAAATTTTCCAGAAATCTAAAGTAATGGGAAATGAACTCAATCCATGATGTATAGTTGATAAAGATTACCATGACTGTGCAAAGCCACTGTGTATCACTCAGATGCCTTTCATCACTTGCTGTGGCTGTGAAAGTCAGTTTATTTTCTGCCTCTGTCTATTCCATCCGACCCCCCCCCATCCCCCTCTTTTTTCATGATCCTCGACCATTTTCCTTCATTATTAGTACACAATCTGAACATGATTAATCAAACATAAAAGCAAAATAATAACCCTCATGGGGAGCCTCCCAATAGGTCCGAGTACTAGACAAAAATTACAGTGGAACCCATGTGGAATTTCCCGTGACATGGAAAAAGTTACACTAAATTTACCGCAATTGACAGAAGTTGTCATCAGAAATTCCAGCGATATGAAAAGTTCTATTACCTGCTGCTGGGCATTTGCATTTGCGTACACAACTTCCAGCATGTGGCACGTCATTTCATTCATGTCTGTAATGGGAGAAATCTTGTGGCAGTTCACGCTCCTCTTTCCCCCAAAAGCTCTGACCAGGCCATTCACTCTCACATAAGTGTTGACGGGGAGAGCATTTGAAGTTGTGTTTGATCCGTCCTCATTTTCCTGTGAATTTAAGCAATGTGTCACTATATATAAATCCTTAGCAAAGATTATTTCTATATCAATTATGGCTATGAGGGCATTCACGTGCATTACCCTACTGGGGCTGGGTATACTGCAACGATTGCTTTCACTTCAGTAGCAGCAAAGGCAACTTTAGTTTTTAGTTTTAGTAAGAGTTTTACGGCACTTGCAACACAAATATGCCATCTAAGTGTTGAAGATTAGGTTACTAGAGAGTACCATAGAAAGAAGGAGGAGAGATCAGGACAATAGATGGTAGATGGGACAGAAGGAGCAAACCAAACTAAAGCAGCTGCTAACAAACCACTACAACATTACAAAGCAACTTTTAATAGTAAATGAAAAATCCCCCCTCCCCTTTCACTTTCTTTCTCCTAGGTGGCTTATAATATAATGTCTTTGTGACTAAAACAGTGAAAGTAAAAGGAAATTCTCTTAGGAATTAGAACAAAGGAATTATTATCTACTTATCATAATAATCTCACCTCAGTTTCATTGAAGTGTCGCACCTCAATTGGAGGACCAGACATGTCATCAATCTCATAATCAATTCTTGTTGCTGACTCATTCACAGCTTTTATGAGACCAACAAAGGTAATCTGTTGAGGAATAACATTTTTAATTAATAAAATACACCTTTCGTTCATTCCAGCTAACTTTAATTGACAAAGCAAAGAACAGGAAGATTGTACATTCCAACTCGCAGTTTAAGGTCATCAGCTGACAAAAAGAAATTTATTTTACCATCTATGAAACTTAAAACAATGGGTGAAAGGACATTTGAATGCCAAGGCCCCAAGATCTGGAATGCTTTACCAAGTACGTTGAGAGAAATCAAATCTTTTGATTCATTCAAATGTCAGGTCGTTTCTGTTTTTAAATTAATAAGATGAATATTTGGAATAATTTTCTTTAGTCAGAACACAACGTTTCATGTTACTGTTGTACGTTGTACTGTATTGTAAAGCGCTCAGAGCCTGTGTACTTTATTCGGGGTTGAGCGCTATATAAATGTCATTTATTATTATTTGCATTGAATCCCACAAAGCCTAGAAATATCAATTAAAAAAAAATAAATTCTTAAGGTAAAGACTAAGGGAACAAATTGACAAGTCCAATAGACAAGAAACAAGTCCTGGGCCTCAAAAAGGATCACCACAAAGAACAAACCCCCCAACCATTGACAAATAACTTGGTACAGGAAAACTTTCAACAAGTAGGTCTACAATAAACATTACAACTGGAACTATTTTCTCTTTAATCAAAGTAAAACAATTAAATACAGAACTTAAGGATGACTAACATTGGTGGAATAAAAACTTGAGTACAACCAATTATAATTGACCTGGAAAAGTTCAAGATTTTTGGACACAAAGACATCATCCTCGTGCTTTGCTGTGAGGATCTGGGCAATGGTGACTGGAACAATGTTGTTACTGCGCTTTCCACTTTTCTGAAAAGAACATGAAAAATAGTATGTTAAGGAAACTCTGAAGTTCTTTGTTTACACTATCAAGACAATAAAGTCAAGTCTTTAAAAGAATTCACTAGAAATATATAAATCCAGAAAATTTTGCATGTTATTTAATTTCTAAAGTGATGTAAAATGTCACTTCATATATTACAATTTACTTTAAGTTAATGTGTAAATACGACAAGACAAACATTAATTTTGTTTGGTTTTACCCATAAATTGTAACAGACCCACTGCAGAGGATATCACTGTGACCATTTATCAATATTCATATACTCACAGAACGAACAAGCAACTCCTGCTGGGAAGAATGTACATTAACTTTAACACGGATTTCACCAATGAACATAAACAGAGCAAAACGCACCAAGTCAGATGTGCTGTAAGCTGACAAAACGCCTTTTTCCATTTTGGCGCCTAAATTTGTTATTTTCTATAAATCGAAAGCCTGATAATTTAGCCAACTTGTGTGAAAAAAGATCAAAGTGAAACTGCGACTACTTTTTGAATAAATTAGAATTCAAATTTCGAAATCACTATTTAAACTATTTTTAAATGTGTCACTACACTATGGAATCAGGCGCGTCAATTTTTCGGCATGTGGAGTTATTGGTATCACCTGAAAGCAGATTTATTTGCCTTGCTTCCAATGAAATAATAATTGCCTGTATAAAACGGAAAACTGTCCAACGCGGAAGCGGAAAGAAAAATCCGCTCCTTTCCGAGGGTTTGCCTCTCTAAGACGGAAAATGTTTTGCCCACTCAGCCTGCTTTGAAACAAACCTCGCAAGATTGTTCTGCCGGCCCTAAACTTAATGTCATGCTGCCGGGCTAGAGGTGCAATTTGAGGGCAGATGTTATACCATCTCTATGTGAGTGTGTGTGAGCCCTGAGAGATGATGATGGTCAGGGTGGTGTGGATGTGAAATCTCACCAGTGCCAGTGAAAGTACTTAAAGTGGTGTTCCAGCACGGAAACTTTCATTGGTAGCCAGAGGTCAGAGGTGTGAAATAAGTTTGACCAATGCCTGCCTCCCTGAACGTACAGCCAGCCGAGAGAGAGTTCCTCCAAGATCGTCGTTACATGGCAGTGAGGGGTGGCATTGGTTGACTGTGTTTATTACACCGATGGGTGGGGCTAAGGGTGCAAGCAAAGATGTTCAAACGTTTGTTTTTAATAGGTCAAACAGTGGTCCTATGAAATGCAAACACTGGTGGTAACTGGATAAGACTGATGCATTTCATTATCAGAGAGGATAGCAGTTGAGAGGTGTAAAATTTTGACCACCTGTGACTGTTTGCCGACCGGACAAGCGACCCTTGATCCCACCGGTGGGGCCACCCCTTCCCCCACCCCCTTCCCCCTAAATTCTCCTGCCTACAACATAATTTTTGTGTGGCTCCCTTGCGATTCCGTCATACACAAGTTCGACTGTACATTCTTCAGTCTATATGACAAAACATGTCAACCAGTTTGGGCAAACAGGTCACTTTCTTTTACCTTTTTCTCATCTCCTTGCGGTGTGTTGAACCCTCCACCTTGGCCAAAGCCTGATGAGTTGAAATCTGAAAGTGAATATATGTGAGTTATGAGACAGAATTATCTACCTAGCACATCACAAGACATACATCTATATATATTATATAGAATCTAGATCTAGTCTAGATCTAGATCTATATTATGATTTTCTACAAGGTGTTTTGGCATCAACAAAAAACGAGATAAAATTAATGCAAACAAACTGGGCAAAAATTTAACGTACAGAAGGTAGGCCAGAAATAAAACTCCCTTTCTGAATGAAACAAACTTGAGATGAGCAACTTCAATTCAGAGAAACCAGAGCACAGCCTCCTCCTAAATCTAATCTAGAATCTAGTCAAATTAACACACTGAACTATCTAGATCTAGATTCTAGATCTAGATCTAGAATAGATCTAGATATCTAGATCTACATCTAGAATCTAGATCTAGATCTAGATCTAGGTCCTTGGCTAAGTTTCTTTAAATTTAAATCATTTAAAATTGAAAATTTGGCTAATTGACATGGTCATCATTTGTACTTGAAACTGAATTCATCACTGTGTGTGTGGACACTGTTGGTGTTTCCTGCTTGTCAATCTGTAAACTGTCAAGTTTAGACCCTA